AACGAAATCATTTTATTAAAAATTCTCCCATTTTATGAGAGAGAGAAAAAATATATTTCAAATGTCTTCTCGAATCCTATTTTTTTTTCCCAACTTCGTTTCGTTAAAAAAATATTTTTAAATAACTTTTCTTCTGGTCTGCACAGATTCACGCGCAGGACATTTTTTTTTCTCCTCTCTAAAATAAACGTTGGCCGGTGTAGAGCTGAAAAAACATCCCGGCCCAAATGCTCCAGTTTGGACGTCCTCGGAAAAGATTCACCGCGGAGTCTGTGAAAATAATTACCGGCGTTCCCGCTTTCAAATCACCGCAAAACTTGTGCAGTGTGTGCTGATTTAGCGCCCCATGACAAACAATCCTGTTTGTTTGAGCTCAAAGAGTCGACAGTCGTCTGCTAGTGCTGATCGGCTAAACGGATTTCCTTTGTATTTTTATTTTTTTATTTTTATATTTGCAAAATGAAAGGAAATCGAAAAAAAAAATTAAAAAAAAACATCTAATCACTCTGCACATTTCAAACAAACTGAGTTAGTGTGGCATTAAGATTAGATGCATGCTTTTTGGCGAAGTTTATATTTGCCAGCAGTATAATAATAAATCTAGAACACGCCAAGTCAAAATTACTAGCCTCTAGTTCCGTTCCTGTCCCTGAGTCTGCCTAGCTCTAATGGGTACCTGACTTGAGTTGGGGAAAGTAAAATGGTAAAGTAAAACGCCAACTGTCATTGACCCCTTCATCTTACTTTTTTCTTCTTTCTTAATTGTAAAATTGGAGGGGATTTCCTCCAACACAATAAAGTTTTACTTATCAACATGTTATACGCCTTATAGGCAGTTGACTCCAGCCTGTTTTTCTTTAAGGATTTGCTTCCATAGAATTTTTTTCCAACCCAAGAACAAACTACAAGTCAGTAGTTGTTTATTTTGTTGTTTTCTCTACCACCCGAGCTTCTATCACTAGCTAACAAGCCTCATCGGCCTGGGATCCGAACTCTGGAATTTCGCAGTCAGCAACCGTGAGCAATCAAGGCAATCATTAATAAGTTATCTCATCGATTTTAGCTCTTCCATCTCAATCAACAGATTCCATACCCTCTGTTAACCTCATTATGAAATTAACCCACACCAATGACGTAACTATCACAAACCCTAATTCTTAAACTATCCCTAACACTAACTATAAAGTAAACCTAACCTTAAATTATGATAAAAATAACTCAACCCTAATTATGAAAACTTACCTAAGCCTTAGTTATGAAATTAACGGAAACGCTAATCAATAACCTAACCTTAACCATATATTATTATGTGATCTACCTCAAATTGTCTCGCATTATTCGGATTGTAAATCCTGTGTTATAAACATTTCCGTGGCGCCAGCATTTTGGGTGTAAATCCACGTAAATTAATTTTCTTTTTTTGAAATAAAATAATTGATCTTCACCCCCACCCTAACACCCAAACTTGGGGTGTAAAAAATGGTCCAAAACTCAGCCCGCGCCCAACAACGAAATCCCATTTTGACGCCCCAGCCATCGATTAAGCTCTCGCGAGATTTCAATTGTCCGGGCGAATTAATGCGTTGTGAGAGCGAGACTTGGCCCAAACTATGTTTGAACAAGTCTGAGAATGGTCCAAGGTCTCATACACTGTGGGTTTAAAATTTGAGGCCATGATGTTATGATGTTAGTGGGCCATGGCCTAGGAAATAACAGATGTAAACATTAAGGCCATGATGTTAGTGGGCCATGGCCTAGGAAATAACAGATGTAAGCTTTAAGGCCATGATGTTATGATGTTAGCGGGCCATGGCCTAGGAAATAACAGATGTAAGCTTTAAGGCCATGATGTTATGATGTTAGCGGGCCATGGCCTAGGAAATAGATGATGTAAACTTTAAGGCCACATAACGTGTAAATGGAATCTATTAATGTAAAGCCTTACTAGTTTCCCCACACTCGAGTCTAGCATTTACATTTAATTAAAAAGCTTTAAGATGAGGTTTTTTTATTTTTATTTTCATCAACTTCATACCCAATTTTCGATTTACCGAAAGTTAAAACATGCTTCAGCTGATTTTATTTTAAGTTATCCTCAGATTTAAGTGTATGAGTGACTCATAATTAAAGCACCCCTCGATGTGAATTTCGCCTATACTTAACTTTACTCATTCTAATGGATTATGCCTACCTATTTATAAACGTTATCCAAAGCTAATTATCGATAATTATTAGTCACTTATCCTAGTGAATAAGTCTACTCCATGTTAGAGAGTAGCCATTTTTTGTGAATCACTCCTTTAATGGATTCTAAAAGTTTTTTTTTTCGAGAAAAATGTAATTACAGTTAATTGAAATTATAATTACCGAAGTTTTGTTTACGTACTGTCTACAACAAGACGGAATGATTGTGATTGTGATTGTGTTTGATGGGACTGACAGGATATGGAAAGATTGTTATCGGGAGGGGGTGGGGGCTGGGGGAGGGGGTGGAGGAAGCTAAAATGTGCCAGAAAGACGGACTCCCTTTCGGATGTTCATATTTTGAATGAATGTAAGTAAAAATTTTCTGCAAACCGATTGGATACATCAATTCTACTCCTGCTCGCCACAATGTATCTTTCTATACAGGGGAAGCAAATTTGATGAAACGATAACAGGCTTTTTTTTGGCGGTATGTAAGTTACATTGTGTAATGGTGAGGGTTTATTTTTTGAACGATGTGTAAGTGATATGGAGAGCCCGAAGTATCAGGTCCTCGCTTCTCAACGGGCATCACGTGATTTATCCCGCCTCTACCAATGGAGACGTCACTCTGACGTTAAGATCCTTGTCAATACATTTCGCTAACGTCAAAATCCTTAATACGCCTATTTGACGTCATGCTCCGTGGTAACACACCTCTCTGACGTCATGTCTATTTCAACACACCTCTCTGACGTCATGTCTATTTCAACACATCTCTCTGACGTCATGCTCCGTGTTAACACACCTCTCTGACGTCATGTCTATTTCAACACATCTCTCTGACGTCATGCCCATTTTAACACACCTCTCTGACGTCATGTCTATTTCAACACACCTCTCTGACGTCATGTCTATTTCAACACATCTCTCTGACGTCATGCTCATTTTAAAACACTCCTTAAAGTTACTCTGGCTAATGTAATGTTTAATGTCTTAAGAATGTTGAATGTTTTAGTTTTCTCCAGTCAATCCAACTCCCTACCCCCCCCCCCCCCCCACACACACACAAACCCCTCACGCAGAGACCTCTCCATAATAATCCACTTACCACCTAACTGCCCTTCATCGTCTTACCGCCTGATTATTATTATGATTTTCCTTTTAGTTAATTAGGAACTCCATTTTTCTCAATTAGAAACCCCATTTTCTCAATTAGGAATCCCATTTTTCTTAATCATTACTCAACATGTTTAATTAAGATTACTATTTTTCTTAATTAAGATCCTAATTTTCTTTCAGAGTTGCTTTGATATTTTTCTTGAATATTTTAGTTTGCAATAATCTGATGATAGCACGCCTACACCCACCAAATATACAGCAACCAGCCACTACATGCCAACCAGCCACGACATGCCAACCAACCACAACATGCCAACCAGCCAACTAGCCAACCAGCCACTACATGCCAACCAGCCAACCAGCCACTACATGCCAACCAGCCAACTAGCCAACCAGCCACTACATGCCAACCAGCCAACCAGCCACTACATGCCAACCAGCCACTACATGCCAACCAGCCACTACATGCCAACTAGCCAACCAGCCACAACATGCCAACCTGCCACAACCTGCCAACCAGCTACAACATGCCAACCACCCACAACATGCCAACCACCCACAACATGCCAACCACCCACTACCTGCCAACCAGCCACTACATGCCAACCACCCACAACATGCCAACCACCCACTACATGCCAACCAGCCACAACATGCCAACCACCCACAACCTGCCAACCAGCCACTACATGCCAACCAGCCACAACCAGCCAACCACACACAACTTGTCAATCACTCACACTCTCCCAATATACAGCAACCACCCACACTCTCTCAACCACCCACACACCATATCAATTATGTCAACCACACATACCATGTCAACCACACATACCATGTCAACCACTCACACTCTCCCAATAAACAGCAACCACCCACACAATCTGTCAACCACCCACACCCTCCCTATATATAGCATCCACCCACAACCTCCAAAAACACTCACGCACACAATACACGAAACAGTTAAATGTCTCAGAGGAAATCTCCGTCAGTAGCACTATATATTTTTTTAAGAACCAAGAAGAACAAACTATAAAGGGAAATAATTAGAACAGACAAAAGATTCGCCATTTTTTTTTTATTTTAACGTGTGTCTCCAGAGACAAACAGTAACTTTAACTATATCTAATTTTACTAATTTACACAGCCGTACACTTTTTTTTATTATTGTTATAATAATATATATAGACTAGGATATTTTGCATTAGGGGAAGGGGTGTAGAATTTTGGAACGATGTTCAAAGGGACGGGGGGTCGGGGGGTCAATAAATGTAACGTACAATGTGTGTTATATTTTTCAAAATTAAAACAACACCTGTATTTACATGGTTTAGTTGCAGTACTTGCAGTTTGACACAAATTCAAATTAGAATCTTTATTTCAGTTTTGGTACATTTAATTTCGGTTTTGGGAAATGTGCTGTTTTACTACCTTCCCTTTATGGCTTAGACGCTAACTTTTGTTGGCTGGTTAGCCCATCACTTTCTAAATTGTGTGTTAATAAAAAAATATATATATATATATCTAAATCCTAATTTTTATGTGAAGACATTAGGCTAAAATAAATGTTTTTAACAAGAGAAAGGTAGTGTCCATCACGAGCGTAAAAATAATATTCCTAGTTGTCTTTCTTGGCGTTTTTTTTCATACTGCTGCAACCTACATAGCGCGTTTGTTATGAAATTACACTACGCGCCTAATAATACATTAAACATTTATAAGCTGAAGGTAGTCTGAGTCCAGAAAGAATAGAATCTTGAATTCTAGATCTAGTCTAGTCTAGATCTCTATTTTTCTCAGAAATTCAACGCAACATTAAGCAAAAGATCTACTAAACATGAGCCTGTGGGTTGATAAATACAGACCAACGTCTCTTGCAAAACTTGATTATCACAAAGACCAGGCGGCTCATTTAAAAAAATTGGTAAGCACATCACTGACATCATAGATCTAGAACACAAGTCACTTAGTTTTGTGTTTTGAGTGAGTTTTTTTTTTTTTAGCTCATACTCATACCGAAGTAAATAAATGTATATGGCCTATAGATCTAGTAATAGATCTATAAAAAAAATAATTACTAGAGTAAAGTACCACGCACGGTCAAACAAAACACAGCTACTGCCACCCTCCACAAGCCTCCTGTTTTCCACTCAATTATTATAGTCTAATAATTGTTTGGATGTTCTAAACGAAACAACCACTAGAGAATCTATCTGCTGTACACATGTCCATTTCTAAATATATCCAGATCATATTCTTTTGTTTTCTCCTTCTGGAAGACGATTTTTAAAGTTTTTAGGTAGGGTCTACGACATCGTATATGAGTCACATCCCCCATATGAAAAGCACTAGGTCCTGGATTAGACGAATAAAACTAACCAATCAAAGTTTTTATAACTGGGTTAACTATAAAGTGTTTTCGGCATTTTACTTTACATATAAAAAGTAGCCTATTGCTAAATTTAATTATGATTATTAATTAATAGTGATGGCAATTGCTTGAGCCAACAATGAAATTCCATTGATATTCGCAATCTAAAAATAAGTTACGGGAATACTACTCTAATACTCCAAAGCATAACTAATAAACTATATTATAATAATTTCAGTAGTAATAGATTATCTGAGAGTGCCTAATTGCTGCCTAATAATTAAAAATATGCTAGGCCTTTAATAATAAGGCATAAAGAATTATAAGTATTACATAATATGAATATTGATTTCATTGACTTATAACCCGTTTTTTACAATTTGTCTAGTTTTACACATTACCAACAATACTTTCTATGGGGTTATAGAAAATAGATGTAGGCTTATTGAATTGTTTCTAAAAAATATTATAGAATAATACAGTTATGTCAGCTAAAACTAAATAAGCCGAAATGTTTCAGGTTGAAGGTGGTGACTTCCCCCACCTGTTAGTTTATGGGCCATCCGGAGCTGGAAAGAAAACAAGAATAATGTGCACACTACGTGAATTGTACGGCTCAGGGGTAGAGAAGCTTCGCATTGAGCATAGTAATTTCACCACACCATCAAACAAAAAATTAGAGATATCGACCATTTCCAGCAATTACCACATTGAAGTCAATCCAAGGTGAAGGTTATTTTGATTACTATTGTCTAATAAAAGTAGTTGTCTGTTATTTTTTATGTAGGCTTTTCTTTGCATTGTTTTTATATATTTTCATTATTCGCTCTGTGTTTAAATTTCATTTACATTTTTTTAATAGATGTTAATTGATTTATATTTCTTGAAATCTTTTAGATTATTTTTTTTTTGCAATGCGCATATCAAATAAACGTTCAACTTTACAGTTGTTACACTCTGATGTTTTCAGTGATGTTGGTCACAATGATAGAGTTGTTATTCAAGAGTTGATAAAAAATGTGGCACAGGTGAATCAGCTGGACACAACACAGCAAAAGAATTTTAAAGGTACTTTCTTTAGAGCCTCTCATTTAGTGCTTGTATTTATGTTAACATGTAGTATTAGTACAGGGGTCGGCAACCTGCGGCTCGCGAGCCGCATGCGGCTCTTTTGATATCAAGATGCAGCTCTCCAGCTCTTTGAACAAATACTAATAATCTTAATAAAAAATAAAATATTTTAAATAAAAAAAATGTTAATGGCTCTTTAAAACCATTGAAATTATGAAAAGTGTAACTTTTGGCTCTTCCGCTCAAAAGGTTGCCGACCCCTGTATTAGTAAGATCCATCAATACATATCAATTATGGATAATGCTTTCCTTCACAGTTAAAAATAATTTGTGATACTTTCAACTAAAAAACTAACATTTTTTAAGACATTTGTATTTTGTTTAACAAGTCCTTTTTACAGTAAACTGTAAAAAAAAGAATTTCCTCATAACTTTTATATATTTCTGTCAACTGACATGATAGTTCTTGCCACATCATAAAATAATTTCCTTTAAAAACCTTTTTTTAAAACTATGTCTTTATTGTTATTAAGCCTGTCTTCTTATTTTGCAGTTGTTGTGCTGACAGAAGTCGACAGGCTGACAAAAGATGCCCAACACGCCCTCCGTCGTACAATGGAAAAATACATGTCCACCTGTCGTTTAATTTTGTGCTGTAACTCTACAAGTAAAGTTATTCCTGCTATTCGCAGTCGATGTCTGGGTCTAAGGGTCCCTGCTCCATCTATTGAAGAGGTCAGTTGATGACTAGTTCTGGAAGTTGCCTTGTTATATATTGATTGGTTCCCAAAACAAAAGCAACAGAAAATAGTGCCAATATTAAAAAGCTCACGTGCAAACTCATTATACTGATACAGTTTGACTGTTTTATTTGGTCACATTTTGTTAAAAGGTCTTATGCATTTTACATATGGGTATCCTGTGCTTGATAAAGTCTTTGAATTATCAATTAAACTTTGCACACTTTTTTATCAGTGAATTTTCTATGGCGGTTTTTTCTGGTCGCCTTATGAATATGATTAGGTCTGAGGGTCCTGTTTGACCTTTTTAATTTAGAAAAACAAACTTTTAAACTGAATCTATGAAATACTAAATCTTTTGATCATGTCATACTTAAAATTCTTTTATATATACATTTTATAAACTAATTTGTTTAACTTTGGCCTACAGATCAGTCAAATCCTTATTAATGTGTGTAAGAAAGAAGGTCTTACATTGCCACAAGAGATGGCTGTTAAGATAGCAGAAAAAAGTGGAAGGAATTTAAGACGGGCAATCTTGATGTGTGAAGCATGTCGTGTCCAGCAGTGAGTAATTACAAAGTACCATCGTTTATTATCTTGCTCATATAGTTGGGTACAGGGCATTCTTCTTCGTTGTTCTTAATTGTAACGTTGGACGCGGATTTCCTCCAACACAGTTGAGTACTACCTGTCAACCGTTTATGTGCTATAAAGGCCGTATCACTCTAATTTCAGCCTTTTAAGTCTAGTTTTTAAAACCTTTTTTTTTAAATTCCATGCAGTATATGTTACATAGATAAAAATTAAAGAGAATTTGCATTGTTAATATCAAGTCCTCAGGAATTTTTTATAGCTGGTTTAAATGCAATTTTTACTGAAGAATGTTTAATCTTCCAATTCCCTGTTTTCAGGTACCCCTTTAACATTGACAGAGAAATATCAGAACCAGACTGGGAGGTATTTTTAAGAGAGACAGCAACTATGATTGCTCAGCAACAGTCCCCAAAAAGGTCAGTTTTTTTAGTCAGGGATTCCCAGATACGACTTTTTCCAAATTCCAATTCCAGCTGATTTCTAAATTTTGAAAAATTTTAATTTTCAGTTTTTTCCCACTGATATTTTTCATATTTTTTCACAAATATAAAACGGAAAATAGTATTCTAATATATTGTCATTCTATAAAAGGCTATGTACATCTCCCAAGTCGGGTTTCTTTTCAGTTACAATCACATGCGTGCTAGTCTAGGTATAATTGATCTACTGTTATTTTTAATCCACCTTTCAGCGTTATTTAATGATTTGTATAAAATCAGCTGTGCTTATGTAAACCAATTTTCCTCAGACTACTTGAGGTGAGGGGGAGACTGTATGAGCTGTTGACCCACTGCATCCCACCAGATGTCATTATGAAGGTGAGCAACATTTCAGTTATTTCTTTTTACAGCCATTAGCTCTTGTGATATCTGAATTCTTGAAGAAAAGTGATATTTGAATTCCTGAAGAAATGACAATACTTGTGAAGCCTTCACAGCATGCCCTCCTAAGTTTGGTGTGGTGGAAGCATACTTTATAAAAAAAATGTGTGAGCTGCAAGATGTAATGGCATCCAAATATCATGTCCCTAGTACCAGACTTTACTATTTTCAGTTTTTGTTTTTTATTTCCTTACCACTGTATTATATGCTCTTGAAATAGGTTTGTGTAATAATGGATGTTGCCACAATTTTTGTTGCCAAATGTTTCTGTATTTAGAACAGTTAAGTATAAATAGCAAAAAAATATTAAATTGTAGTTAGGATACCACCACACAACTAGACTTTTAATTTTTAATGTTTGCATCCTTCAGGGTCTTTTGAAAGAGTTGTTGTCAGTGTGTGATGGGCAGCTCAAGGCTGAAGTGGTACAAAGTGCAGCCTACTATGAACACAGACTACAGCTAGGTCAGAAACACATTTACCATTTGGAAGCATTTGTAGCCAAATTTATGGCAATATATAAAAGATTTCTTGAAGAGGGTATTGCTGATATCTTCTAGATGACTTCCTGTATATAAATTACTCATGTGAATAAACTCCTTTATCTGTTGCAAATCAAATTTTTCTTTTTATAGTTTTTTCCTTATCTGGTTGTAAATGTAAACATAGAAAACAAAAGTCACAATCACTCAATGAGTGAATTTTAATTTTTGATCATACAAACTCTACTACTCTGCTTATTTCACTAAAAGCGGAAAAAATATATCTTTAAATATTTACATTCATTTGGTATTAGACTGCAGAGGCAAATATTTTTAACATAAAACAACTGATCAACGGTATCACATTCTTTGACAAAAAAATATAAAAGAATGAAAGAAAGCTAACAGTTTGTGCTTAGGGGAATGATGTGGATGATTCTGTCATGCACAAAAGTTGTAGCTTTGGTTTTAACACGTGAATAAAGATTTGAATTAGCAACATTCAACAGAATTAAAATTATTCTGGCCAAAACAAAAAAATGTGTGCAGCCTCAATTTAAACAACCATCTGCTAAGCCCACAGATACAGTTTTATAAATATAAGGCTCAAGTAAAGGGAAACAACACAATCTGGCCTCCATGTAAATTTTAGTAATTAGGAAAGCAATTTTAACACCCTAATACTCAATAGTTTGTGCACTATACTATTACCATAATGCCTGTTTACAAGAACCAATCTATAAACTCTCAAGAGTTATTTTAATTTATCCAACAATCAATGACATGCGTGAACACAATGGCATTTTTTTTTAAATTATAAATCATGTGATTTAAAAATGTATTTGGATAGACAAAAACAGCATTGATTATTTCATTGATTGCTTTTTAAAAAAAAAAAACTGTACATATAATTACAAAAGGCCAGAATGTCTTACAAAGCTGCAAGAGCTATACTGGGATAAGTTCGAGATCTGTGAAGTTCTTTAGAGCATAAGGCATCTCTATCTATTTTTTCATACAAATTCCTTGAACCAAACGAGGGTTCAGGTAAATCTTCATGATTGTATGACCCCAGATGGAAAATGGGTTTATTTTCTTGGAGGTCAGAGCCAAAAGATGGGTTATTTTTATCCCCCCACATGCCTTCGGTGGAAGTGAAGCTGAAAAATGATGAAACTTGTCGATGAAAGTAGTCAGATAAGTTGGGTGAAGATGCTGATGGACTCAAGACAGAGCTGTGATGATGTGTAGTTGCGTCACCTATTTGCTCTATATTCAGTTGGTGAAAGGTTTCTGTATTATCTGAAAATAGTAAAACATCTTTTTAAACTGGTTACAGAATATTACAGAATACCAAATAATTATAAACCAAAATTACTTTAAACTTTAATGGAAATAATTAGATTTTAGCAAGGTATGATTTATTTGGATGTTCATGTTTTAGAAAGATTTGATTAACTTGGTGAATGAATCAACATTTATCTAAGTACCTGGGAGTTTTGGCTTGGAAGCTTCTGAAATTTCCTCTAAACGATGTTTAGCTTGTTCATATCCCAGCTGGGCAGATTTTTCATACAAGTTCACAGCAGCAACAGAATCTTCAGGCAATCCTGTAGATTAATGAAAATATAATTGGCTATGGTGTCAATAGTTCTTTCTATATTGTAAAAAAATTGTAAGTAATAATAAACTGAAAACTAGGTCTTATTTGTTCTGTTAGCATAAAACTACTATTCCAGCTTAGCTGCATAACTAATTCTTAAGAGATAAATAACTAGTGTAGATCTTTTAAAGACAGTCTTTTTCTATCTATTACTTTTACTACTGGCAACCAGAAAATTGAAAAGGTTTTCCTATTATGTTGTAGTTCCCAAAAGAATTAAAACTAAGACTAACCAACAAGACCATATTTAAATGGTTTTCCATTCATGTTGTGGTCCCGAAGAAATAAAACTGAGACTAACCACCGAGGCCGTATTTAAATTGTTTTCCATTCATGATGTTGTTCCCAAAAGAATTAAAACTAAGACTAACCACGAGGCCATATTTAAATGTTTTTCCATTCATGCTGTGGTCCCAAAGAAATAAAACTGAGACTAACCACCAAGGCCGTATTCATTAAACACAGCCAAATTGTAGAGAGCAGCTTCATGACCTGCACTGGCAGCCACAGAGTACAGATGGGCAGCTTTGCACTCGTTGACCTCAACACCCCAACCCTGCTCATAGCACATGGCTAAGAAGTACTGGGCTTCAGTGTCCTGCAAGATAGAAAAATGTATTGGATAAACCAATACTGACATTTGAGAAGCAGCTTAAAAATATGCTAATGTTGTCTAATTAATAGAGTATTATAAAAAATAACACAAAATTTACACAATTAAGAAGTATTGAAAAATAACTTAAAAATGAAGACTACTGATAACCTATGTAAAATAATTGTTGAGAAGGCTTCATTAAAAAACTATAAAAACTAAATTGTATAAAAAATATTAGATTAATAGTATTTATTAAAGTCTGCATGTACCAAGAAAATAATTAGAAATAGTTCATTAAACTTAGGCTACTTTAATATAGAGCTACAGAGAGAAAGTTATGTAGGTTAGTTGGGCTATAAGAAAAGAGCCACTCACATTCTGATCTGCTGCTGCTTTGAAGTAGGGCACCGCCTTGACCGGGTCCTGTTTTTCTTGGATATGATGAACGCCAAGGTACAGCAAAGCCTGAGGTTTTAAAATGTTCATTCAATGCCTTAACATCAATAGAGCAGAAACAAAAAAATCTAGAAATTGTAGATTTTGCATGATAACTGGCAGTTTAAAAAATTAATTAAATAAATAAAGGGAATGTTTTACGAACCTCAGGGAGTCCAAGTCTTGCTGCCTTGTCTAAAAGGTTTATCCCTTCTTCTCTCTTCCATGCCCACACAGCCCTAGTTTCTTCATCATCTTCCTTCTCTTTTAGGTACATTAAGCCTAGGTTAAACAAAGCCATACTGTGACCAGCTTTGGCAGCTATGTTGTAATAATGTTCTGCCTGAAAAATAATCATAATTACATTTAGATTAAACTTAAAGAAACAATTTTTAGGTACCTTATCTTACTGGGAAAATTTTAAATGTATCACTCTAAAAATAATCATAATTACATTTAGATTAAAGAAACAATTTTTTAGGAATCTTATCGTACTGGGAAAATTTTAAATATTTATCACGCTAAAATATTCATAATTAGGTTTAGAAAAAGGAAAAATTATATAGGTAGTTAGAAAATTTAAAATATTTATCATCGTACTGACTAATTTTAAATTAGTTTTCATATAGAACTTATACAAAACAAAATGTGAAACTTTATACAATACTTTTTCTAAATCTTGAGACACCCCAGAACCAGTTTCATAACATAGGCCAAGATTGAAGCAGGCCGAAGTATTTCCTAACAAGCACGATCTGCGCAGGTGTTCCACAGCTGTGCTCATGTCCCCCTGGTTTACAGCCTGCAGTCCCAGAATGCTCTCATTGAAGGCTGTGTATTCCTCGCACATAGTCTGGAACTCTTGGAGGGCTGAGTCCAAAGTCTAGAACATTAAAAACATTACTGACTCCAAGTTCCATGAACATCAAACACTTTACTGACTCCAAAGTCTAGAGTATCAAAAACGTTACTGACTACAACTGACCCCCAAATATGCAAAACATTAAAGCACATTAACACAATGACTCCTAAATATATAAAATATTTTATTAGAGTGAAACATAAGCTCATTAATATTTAAATCATCAAAGTTGATTATTAAAAATATAAACAAGTAAAAGAAATTATAATACTTCTGAAACTAGTAACAAGTTTAAAATTTCTATACTTTTGACTGTATTTCTATTCAATAACCTAATAACAGCTGTAAATTGAGGAGATTAATTTCTTTACACTACTTGCGTTGAAGTAAGAAGAGAAATGAACTGACCTCTGATTTAGTTTTATTGATCTCAGCATCCTGTGCAGATCCAGCAGCATCTTTAATGGCCAAAAGCTGACTTTCCTGTGGTGTAGCAATGGGCACAATTCTAGCACTGGCTGAGTTGATGCAACTGATGGTGCTGCCCCCACTGCCAGGCAATGCAAACAGGACTCTGTGTAGGAGGCGGGACTTGCGACGAAATCTGTCAATCTCAGATCCCCAAAGTACTGCTGAACCCTGAAGTATTCATTTGGTTATAATTAGTCAGCAATATAAGATGAATGTTTGTGTTAATTTAAACAGTGTCTTTAGCCTAATTTAAAATAAAAATTTAATGCTTTTTCAAGGTAGAAACTACCACAAACTAATGAACAACAATTAAATCAGTAAACATTGAATTGACAAGATCATAATTTAAAATATGAGTCAACATGTAATTAATATAATAATTCAAGTAAAAGATAATAAAAGGAAAGCTTGGTAAAGTATAGAAATTCACAAAAATGAAATACATTATGCACACTATTCTAACAGATTCATATTTATCTGTTTTACAATCTATTTTACACTTTTTCCCTGGCAGAATTTCTGAGTTTATTTGACATTGCAATGAGGATGATTTCTCTTTTTTCGCTCAGCTTAAAAACATTCATTTGTAGATGATCCCAATGTTTTTATATCTTGCTCTAAAAATTTATTTCTTTTAACCAGCTACCCTAGAGCATAATTTAAAGCTTGTTGCTGTCACATTGTGTCGTGCAGCAAAAGAGAGGCTGTGCAGGCTCACAGCAACAAAAAAAGCAAAACTTGGAAAAATAATTACTACTCAATCCATCAGAATTAAAATAAAGTGAAATTCAGAATATGCAGTTTACCGATATAATTTAAGGCTTTTTTCTTACCTTGAATAATTTCTGGATTCAAGGCTTTGGGAATCAATGTCTGCTGTGAACCCAGTTTGTTAAGTAAGAAATGAAGACTAGATCATTTTAAAATAATTATTACCAAAGACACAGCTTCTGCCATGCGATGTGATCCTTGAATGAGGCGCCAGATATCATACTGACAAGACTGCCACCATTCCCGCCTATCCTTGCTTCCAGTGTTGTTATCAGATTGTCCTTCACCGAGATTACATCTTTTATTTTTCCTAGACTCTCCATTCTCAACAGACAGACTGTTACAAAAATAATGCAATGGCATTATTCATAACACAAGTTTTAAAAATCTAATTTAATCATAAATCTTTTTCGTTTACAGCATACAGATATTTTAAAATTTGTTTAAAAAATATTTTACACCATTAGTTTTTTACAGATGTTCCTTTGATTCAACACTAAAACAAGAAGTGCAAAAAATGCATACAAGTGCATGATTTAACAGCAGTTAATTTCTGATTTAAACCATTTAACATCAATAAAAGATATAATAAATTATTATCCAAACCTGTTTAACACTTCTGAGCTACATGAAAGTTTTTCCCCTGCATTTCTATCTTTTGAACCTTTGGTTATCCACGTGAATGGACAAAACTTGTCTGATTTTTCAGCAGTTTCCAAAACTTCCTGTTCTTCTTCAACATAGAGACCAGCAGAAGGACGGGGGCTGTGTACATATTGCCTAAAGGCTTAAGACAAATAATGAAACAACCTGTTACATTTTTTGCCATTGTGGCATTGAATGATTCTTTTGATATATGAGGTTTAGAGTTTAGGTGTATCAAAATCAAAGTGTATGGCATAGTAATAGTATGGCTCTTAATCTTGTTGTTCAATTTTCAATGATAGTTGTTAATTACAAATAAAATAAGGATATCAAGGATATCTGGCAGTAATAATTTAAAATGGCTAAATGAATTACCAACATCCTGAAATTAAAATTTGTTGCACACAGAGGCAAACAATACAATAATAAAAGGGAATAAACCTAACTAAACTAAGCACCTTGAAATCAAGAGCAGGGTTAGTAAAACCATTGGTTAGTTGAACTTGATTATCAACATGATAATCATTAAGATGATAGATCTCTACTTCTAGAATGTAGGTTGAGATGTTTTTGTTTTTTTAATTTTTACTTGTCTCACTACACTCGTGTAGGCCTAGTTTTATAAAGTTTTTTTTTTTTAATATTAGTAGGCCCTACTAGAAATCTAGCTAGATCTAGAACTATTTTTTCCTTATGCATATAGATCAAGATCTACTTAGTTAGGATAACATTAGACTATAAATTTAAAATTTCGATAATTTTGTTATTGTTTTGGCTATTTTAGTAGCCTATTTTTTTCTGATAGACTATTTTTAATTTTATTTCGGCCCTCATGAAAAAACAAAACTTCACCTAGAAATCTAGATTCTAGAATCTACAAAAACATTAATTTGACGCAAAGTAAAGCTGTAGTTATACATACCCCTTGGAATGCTGTGAATAAACTTCCACATTTTGATATATTATGACCCAATAACTAAACTAATTATAATTTTAAAACGTTATCTATCCAGGGCTATCAGGAATGAAACCTTCCATGGAAGACATGTTTGTTTCTCCAAAGAACCTTGAGGTCAAAGAATAGTCTAAAAATAGATAGTGATCAAGTTTGTTTTTAAAAAATCTGAAAAAATTATTAGGCCTAGCGAAACAAAACCTTGTAATTGTAACTCCCTATCACTCTCATATAAATTATAAATAAATTAATAGGGTACAAAAATAACGTTTGAATTAATAAGTAAAAAATAAACTTATAGCAAGATCTAGAAAACAGCGAAAAATAGATTATTTTGACACATCCCTTTCCCCATAGATCTATATACTAAGTCTATATAATATAGGCCTATATATTGCTATATAGTACTATAGTGTATTATGTATAATGCAATTTTTAAAAAAAACTGGATTGTCTAATAATAGAGAATCTAGGCCTAATAATCTAGTTTTTTTTTATTAACTATAGTCACTGGTGCATATAGATCTAGTATATAAAAGGCTCCCACTACCAACACAATTTTGTGCAACAAAACTTTTTTTACTACCCATTATAAACCTTTCTCCACATCACACACAGGTCCTATGATCCCATAGGGCCTAACAAAATAGTTTTTGTTATAAGTTTTTATTTTTTAAAAATGTTATAATTAGGGGTCCAGAAGGCTTCTTCTGCATTATAAAGTTTGAAACTGATAATTCTCATTAGAGACATATAAATCCATCTCCCAAAATGGAAGTGTAGAATTTAAAGTGAGTGGTCGCAGGTGTGTTGCCAACACATTTTGGAAGGTTCTTGATTGTCAGTATTTGTCACATAAGCCTAAATAGGGTGGAGGGAGCATGCAAGATGAATATTTTTCATCCTTAGCTACATTGCTGTATGGAATAATTTAGGGCTTTATGTATCAAACTTTATATAATTTGCCTTTACCTCAATAACCTATTACCTGCAAATATAAAGAGCTATACAACATCCTGCCTTGAACTGTAACTAAAGCTGGTACCATTTGATTTTGTAAGTATGATGTTTTACTGTATTGATATCTCAGCCTTACAAATGCACATTTATAATGGCTATTGAGAACATTGAAATGTGTATTTACAATTTCAGAGTGCTATGTGTCAATACGGCTTGTTCAAGAGCAGTGGCCAGGTATCACCTGCCACCCTACCTCCAACAATTTTGTATTTTTCGGTTGGTGTAACAACCCTCCTTTCCCCTCACTAATTTAAATGGATAAAACTTTTTTGACGGTAAATTTTACAATTTTGTATTTGGTGTCACCCTTCTAAATGCCCCCTACCCAGTGACACAACTGTTAGTAAACCAATTTATCCATGAGCAAAATTAATAAAGAAATCAAGAGTATTGGCAGAAGTGCTGATGAATTCATTTTTAACATGTCTTTTTTTGTAGCTGAATTGACCTGAATGAAACCATTATGCCGCTCTGCTAACAGTACACAGCAGTGTAATAATATGCTGCGTCCCAGCAAAATTTATGTACAGTCAATTTTCTGACCAGCTCTGTAAAAGTCCTTTGGTCAAACATAAACTCTAGCTGAAGCTATTCCTTTCACTGTTTGAAGTCATGGTAGATATTGATGAGTAATTCGTTAAAATTAAAAATCTTGTGTTGACTGTGTGTATTGTACTGGCTAATGCTGTATCATTAATTGCTGTAGGGTATCCTTTTTACACAGTGTAGGGGATGTCTTTATAAGAGGTTGGGGGGGGGGGGGGGCACATCTCAAGATTTTATCATGGCCAGATTTTTACCAATCTTCAAATTTACAGCACTGCTAGTTTAGATTAATGTTTAGCCAATTTTTTATGTATGATATTTTAAATGAAGTTATAACTACAATATTATTACAGAACATATAATGTAACCAACAAACAAGCAAAAAATAAATATTACAAAATATTTATACAAAGCCATCAGATTTATTTCAAATAACTTCCACAGACATTTCCTTTTTAAAAAGCAAGTTTTTTCATCTGTAGTAATGAGCATTTAAAAATATAAAGTTTTTTTTGGGTGTAGGAACCACAACTGTAATCAAATTACCATTGCAATTCAGGAGTTTATAGCTTACAAACACAGAAAATACATGTTTGTTTACTTAAAACTAACCTTGTGCTTGATAACCTATTTACACAAACTTTGGTCCCAAACTTCTATTGTTTGTTATTTGAGAGAAAGAGTCACCAAGTAATTAATAAAATGACAATAAAAGAGTTAAACCAGTTTTCATATGATGTATTTTTAAAAAAAAACAACTTCAGAATTACTCAATTAGTAAACTTAAGATGTAATATATGAAATTATTTTTTGACAAAACAAACTGACCAACTATTTCACAAGTTTAATATATATACAATTTAAAAATTACCATAGGTTTCTTTCTGAAAGATAACAACAACCATAAGAAAAAATTCAAATAAAATATAAACTGTAACACAGCTATAACCTTTAACTGACACCAGTATTTAAATATCATCTGTGAACACAGCTTCAGTGTATGAGTATTATCTGTGAAGGCAGCTTAAACCCACATCACTGTTTCATCTGTGAAGGCAGCTTTAACCCACAACAGTCCCAGAGTTCACATAAGGCTTCCACTCATCTGATACATCTGCAGGGCTATAGTTGTTTAAAAGCTTGCTCATGTCAATGGGTTGGAAATAGTGGAGGTTGTGGCTGTGAATGGTTTCAAAAGCAAAAAAAAACATTTACCATATTACATCTAAACTAAAAAATTAACACAAGATATAGTATGAATATTTATATTTACTTTTCAGTAAAATGGTTTATAAAACTAACATTATGTAAATATTTAAAATGGTTTATAAAAGATTTATGTACACGTACAAATCTGGTTGCGTCTCTCCTCCCGTAGCTGGATACAAGGATTCATAAACTCTGTCTTCTCCTTCACCGTGGATGGCATAGGCGTTAAATTTTGTGACACCAGGGGGGAAATATCCCCTCGGAAGGATGGCCTCTCCTGTCCACCTATCTCCCTCAATATCTGCAGAGTATGTTGTCAGTGGCAGTTTATCCTGTGATAAAAGAGTTACAAATTTTTTTTACAGAACTCTTCAAATTTGAAAATAAGAAATGTCATAAATTTAGGCCAACTGTAAAGAACACCTGCAGGTCAAATATATTACAGGTATTGCCTGCTTTTAGGTAATTAATTTTGTTTTTCTAAAATCTAATTTGCTGCCTTGTAATTAAAGATGGCTGACAGTAAGATTTTGTGACGTTCTGCTATTCTAGCAAAGGCTAATATCAAATAATAATTTTAACAACCACTGCTGACCTTGACCATCTTTCTCTCACCATTCAACATCAGCAGCAAGTGCTGTCCATATCTGAAATGAAACATATTTAAATAACTTTCATGGCTGGAACTACATTTTAACAAAAGTAAAATTAATTCCTATTGTTGAAAACTGTTTTATCTACCTTTGCTTTATTGATATACAATCAAACATAGTTTTAAAAATGTAACTGAATAACTCTAGCAATTAGTTTTTGGAAACCAATGTTCAATATTTAGCACAAAAAAACTATGCCCTTCTGTACTACCAAGGTTCTTAACCCAAATAATTCCACATTTAAAAAAGAAAAACAAAAAAATGTTACTAAACATTGAAATTACTCTACAGCTATAAATAAACCAAGGATTTATTAGAATTAAAATTACTATAATTTTTAAAATTGAGCTTTTTAATATTGGTTTTAAAAAGTTTATTCCCCCCTCCCAGGAAAATGCAGCATACATATTACCAGTTTGCATTATAATAATTGTAATATTAACATGTTGTATGTAACCTTAGAAATGTTTTTGTAAGTGTTGAAAAGTGGAGAGCTGAGAGCTAATTGTGTTTTTATTTTTCACTTACGGCCCAAGCTCCACTTCAAGATACTGGTCCTTATCATTCAAGAAGAAAGCTTCGACAACTGAAACAAAAAATATTCAGAGCTGTTATATGTGTAAAGTTGATTAAAAAGTAGTAAAAAATTTCTGCAATGTAAACTATTTATTGAAAATTAATGTTTAGTGATAACCCATACTTACTGCTATTGCATTGAGAAATATAGGCTTTATTAAAGTTAAATGTTTATATTAAAATATCATGAAGGCCTTCATTTTAATTTAAACCATGTTTAAGAATTTCCTCCTCAAATAATGCCATAGTTCTTTGATGATACTATAGATCTTAAGTTTTTTATCTACATGTAAAATTATTTTACTAAAGACCTAATGTCACAACACCGTCTGTGATAATTTTCTATGATATAGTGTGATTTTCACATATAGCATAATGTAAAGTAGTGTTAAAACTTTGTTACAAATTGTTTTCTACTTAATTTGAAATACTCTAAAAAAAAATTAATGAATTTCTAAATACATTTAATACATTTTAAATAGTGATATAATAAATAATTTAAAATGATACAATTTACTGGAGAACAGAGTTCCTGGGCAATTAGCTGTGACTATATTTTGTAAAGCTATTATCATCAACAATTATACTTCAGTCACTAATCTGATGGCTAGAGTTACCATCTGCATGAGATAATCTAAAGTACTTCCTAGTTTTTAGACCCACAAGTAGATTTTAACACAGAGATTGGCTTAACAGTTACTTTTAAGGGGTCATCCATTTATGACGTCCACAAAAATCCACTTTTTCCCCTTATAAAAGCCCATATGCTTCCACAAAAGTCAGTTTTTTTCCACCCCCCCCCCCCCCCCCGTGTGGGCGTCATAAATGGATGGCCCCTAAATGTGACAATTATCCAATAAAGTAACCATGAGAAATTGTTTGACTCGGCTTACCTTCATAGTTCCAGAGACCAGGAAAAGGCTGTCCAGGGGGGCCATCAGGCTTGGGTGGGCTGTTGAAGAAAGGCGCTAAGATCTTAATGACCATCCCACCATCTGCAGCTGGTGCCAGAGAAATTTTAACAGGCTCATGCTTGACACAGTTGCCATTCCAGGTTGTCCTGATAGCAAAATTCCTGAAAAATAAAAAGTTGGACCACAAACAATTAAGCCAATTATCTGACTACAAAACAATTCACTTGTTACTTCTTTTAATAAATACACTTATATTTAATACTTATCTGCGAAAAATTTGAAAAGCTTATTGTGAAATTGTTCTATATGAGAATTCTAGAACTGTTCATCAATACTGTCTGGCCATCTTTATTCTCAGAATAAACACATTTGTGCTTATTAATAGTGCTATCCATTATTCTCTTTAGAATTTAGAATCCCCAGACATTTTTATTATTTAGTCATGCCCAAATATTAGTTTGCATATGATTCAGAATAGTTAATTACTACACAGTTAGGCTCAAGATTCAGTTTGGATTGGAAGAATTATTGAATTATTGACAATACTAGATTATTATAGATATGGGCAACAAATTCATAAAACCATTTTTTTTCTAACACTGCAACAAACACTGTTTTTGTTTTTTTGTAATAAGGCTCGCAGCATCATTAAATAATTAAATCTATAACACAACATTAAGAAATTACTAAAAAGACAAAAGAGGGACAAATATTTAAAGTTAAACTATTATCATTCATAGAAAAAAGAAAAGATACGTTAATACAATAAAAGTATGTGACAATCTGAGGTTACCTATAGCCGTCTGATGTCCAGTCCTTTGGCCCTGATATACGGCAAGTTGGCAATGAATTCAGTAAATGTTGAAAAATTACAAACACAGTCAACACTGCTATTGCCACAACTAAAATCCGATTAAGCCATTGTGCCCCTGTAGCCTTTGGGACAAACACTTTAGACTTAGGCATAGCTCGTTAATTGGCGCATTATAACTAATGTGATTTTAAGAGCTATTTATTTTAACGTCATGTTAAGTAAAACAATTTTCTCTTGACCATGGAGTCTTGTGTTTACCTAAAATAACAACTTGATAATGTAAAAAATATGTATTACAAATATTACTTTTCAAAAACACATACATTTACAAATGTTTTGAATTTTATAGAGCAGCCATACCTTCATATTGTATTTGGCTAATATATAATCATAATTTAAGAAATTACATCTAAGGAAAAAACATCTTAGGCTTAGGTTAAGTGTTAGGTTAAAAGACTGGTGTACTTTTTACTGACACTAGACAAGTGGCCCTACTAGGAAAACACAGTATGAGCATAGTATGGTCTACAACACATGTTGATTATAAATTAAAATATTTCAATAAATCAATGTATGACTAATGAATCGGATTACGGATATAGTTAACAAAATTAATAGTGTTAGGCCCACTTCTCTATTCTCCGCACAGCAATCATGATTGATGGATGATGATTGTAGTGCTACCTTGACAATGCCTACTCTTAAAACTCTTTTATCTAGCCATCAATTTCAAACAAGTAACATAGCAACTATTTCAAGTAAATTTGACTTATTTAATTTTACTAATTTTAGATTAACTCTATAATACTCTATATCTAGACTAAATCTAGCCTACAATTTAACTAGATTAGATAGGCCTATTTACTATAATATATAATAATTAATGTGCAAGAGTAAGAGAAGAGTACTGCTGCCTACACTAGTATAAACACATAGAGTCTAGATCTAGATCTAATAAACACAACATTTTATAGTAATTAGTAATAGACCAAACAGAAATCATCCATAATATTAAAGACAGAGTATTCAATCATTAATGTAAATAAATATTAGTGTTTGAAGAACTATCGATAATAGGATGTGGGTGGGGTGGTTGGTTTGTGTATGTAGTATGTAGTTTTAGTAAATTCTGCTATCATCGGTTCAGTATTGTATTGTAGATCTAGACTAGATTTGATTTTGAAAGCACAAATTAAAAATAAATTAAAATATGAAACAGCCTTGATTTTAAATTAATGTACTCAACACTGATCTTTAGACTCACATTTAATATTTAAAATATTTAAAGAAATCGTTGCCTAGGCCTACGACGTGCTTTTATTTTCTGATTCGGCCTAGTCACGTGATTTGTGTGGTCCTGTGTCACTCGTAGTGTGTCAAATGTTCCTTGGTTTATTTGTGTACAGCGAGGCTGCTTAGCCGGAAATCTTACCTGGATAACATCGTTTAGAGTTTAGGCCTAATTTAAGAATAAAGCTATTAACCTTTTTCACAGTCGAAACACGCTTTTGCCAGTTATTGGTGAGCTTTTGACATTTTTCTATTAATTAATTAGGGCGATTAGTTGAATTAGGCTAGGCATTGGCAATATTATTTTATTTGAATATTATTTTCTTTTATCCAGTCTTAGTCAACCTCCTCCCCCTTTCCGTTTTTCTTTTATTTTAAATAGTAAATAGACATCTAGATCTAGATAAATATTAGTATTAGGCCTATAATTATTTATTAGGCCCTAAATAGTAAATAGATCTACTAGAATTAGACCTCCCCTCTAGAATCCACCAGTGTTATACTAACTAATAGACTAATAGTATACTACTAAATAGGCCTATTATATTAGGCCTATATTAATATTTAATATTTACCTGTGATCAGTGTCGGCAGGCCTAATAATTTTAAATATAATAGTCTAATAGGCATTAATAGGGCATATGGCCTAATATTCTAATAATTTAGGCCTATTAGGCATATTTTTATTTAACTCTGTAATACATACTATACCACTATAATAGCAGTATTTTTTATTGACTGTTTAAATGTTTAAAAAGGTGTTTAGGCCTAATTAATAGGCTCAAATTAATTAGCCATACTCTTCTTTGGCAGTGCTAGGCCTGCTAACTACATCTAGATAATAATAGGCCTATAATAATTAATAATATTCAACTATAGGCCTAGGCCTAATAGTATTATTTATTAGGCCTATAGCTTAATAACAAAAGCCCTAGGGGCCTAAGTATAGACATTGGATATAGACTACCTATTGGCTGAAATATTCATTACTAGGTGACTAGTCCTAGGCGATACTGACTAGACTATATTACATAATAGACCTAGATCTATCCTAACCTAAACATAAGTCTATTCTACACTTTTGACTAATTAGATCTATTTAAATTTAAACTAAATATATTGAGAAAAGCTTATTCTAATAACTTCACAAATAAAAAAGATGATTAAGTAAGAGTAAAGAGCTATGCAATTTCAAATGAAGGTTAGGCCCTAATAACTTAAATTTTAATCATTACATATATTGGGTTATGATATGTGATGTTATTGTTTTCAGATGTAATATCAATTATGTGATTATTTTAAGGAGTATTCTAATAATAGAGATTTTTGTAAAATCTTATGCCCTATTTGATGGATGTAATGTGAAATGTGATGATTGCCAAAAAAGATGTGTAATGAACAGTAATGTGGCAATGGTCAGCTGTAATAGGCCATAAGCCTGTCACAGAGATGTGAATATGGAGAGTAATCAGTGTAATAAGCTTAAAATAAATATGTGCTCATCATTAATTCACATGTTAACAAAAAGCTAATGTAGCTTTGAATTCTGTATTTGAACATCTCACACAAGTAGCTCTTATGTTTGTTTCTTTTTACTTTGCTCTTTTTTTTCCATTTTTCTTTTGCTTTGTCCTGACCAGTAGCATATGCTTTGGGGTGTAAGGTAGTGGAGTTGGTAAGGCCTGTATACCCCCCCCCCCCCCCCCCCCCCCCACCGTTTCCCCTCCATCGGATTGATATCCAATCCACAATTGGAAAAATATAGGCCTACACATAATTAAAGTAAATTATATAGGTCTAGGTCTATAAAAATATTTGGTCACACCTTTCAATTAAAAAAAAATAGGTAATATTGCTTATAATTTTTATAAATGACCTTGAATATCAATAACTGGAGTCTAGACTAGTCAACAAATTGTAATTTCTTTTATCCAATAATTCACTGATGATTTTTTATAGATCTAGCTAAAAGAATTCTTTGAGGAGGAGTCTATAAACAGTGAAAACCCTTACGTATTAACAGTATTTATGTTTTAACTCTGGATCTATTTTTACTTGAAGATAACATAAGATAATGGGCGCGAGGAAATTATCCTAAAAAAATTCACATAAAAATGTATTGATTTTGGTTTACTAAAAGTGCTTCAGCAGACATCTTAGGGGTCATCCATATGACATGTGATGTTTACGCTTTTTACCTCACCATCATCACACATCTTCACAAAAAGCCAGATGCACCCCCCCCCCCCCTAAAATTACGTCACATCGTAACCCATCCACCTCAAAATTGCTGTTGTTTTTAAAAAAAAAACCTTAGGTTTTTTTCTTCTCTAAAATTGTTACACATTTCTGTCAAATCGAGTTTATTAATTTCTAATACTAATAGAATTTATAGCCTGCAATCAGCTTCGTAAAACGTGAAATAGAGGCTAAAATTCAGCATTGAACATTCTTTAAAAAAAAACCAAAACAACTCCGACAGTGATAAGTCTCACTTTCTGAACCCTCCCGTTCACACCTCGTCACAGACTTCCGAACCCTAACCCCTCCCTCCCCCTAGGAGTGTGACATTTATGGACGACCCCTTAATATAATTCATCGTAATATATAAAAGCCCATGTGCGGACTTCTAATAATAAAATCGGTATCACAATTACAATTGAATGACGTCATTTGTGAGCGGCCCATTTAAGGAGCCGGTGCAGATCTTGTTGAGTGCCCATCCCACTGTTACTGCACTGATTCATTATCTTCTTAACAACATCGTTTTGTTTGAACTCACACCAACTAGACACGTTACGTTCTTTGTTTGTATTGGTGGTGGAGGGGGGGGGGGGGTCACTCTACTGATTCATTACCTTCTGAACAACAACATCGTTTTGTTTGAACTCACACCAACTAGACACGTTACGTTCTTCGTTTGTATTGGTGGTGGAGGGGGGGGGGGGGTCACTCTACTGATTCATTACCTTCTGAACAACAACATCGTTTTGTTTGAACTCACACCAACTAGACACGTTACGTTCTTCGTTTGTATTGGTGGTGGAGGGGGGGGGGGTCACTCTACTGATTCATTACCTTCTGAACAACAACATCGTTTTGTTTGAACTCACACCAACTAGACACGTTACGTTCTTCGTTTGAATTGGTGGTGGAGGGGGAGGGGGGAGGGGTGCGTTATTAGTTTGATCCGTCGTTGATATGTCATATAGGCTAATGTTTGGGGAAGGGGGGGGGGGGGGCATACGGAAAAAAACGGTTGACTCACTGTCCTCGGGGTGATCGTGTGGGACTGGAAGATAATCCTCTTATATCCCCGGGCGGGGAGTCGATACATTAGATTAGTATCATACACCATTGGCGTCTTGCGACTAGCTGTTTGATGTGTGACATTAGATGAGTATCACACACCATTGGTGTCTAGTAAAGTATCAGACACCATTAGTGTCTAGCGAATAGCTGTTTGATGTGTAGTCATATTAGATTACCTTCAAATACCTTTGGTGTCTAGCGACATGCTGTTGTACGTGTCACATTAGATTAGTATCCCACACCATTGGTATCTTGTGAAGTATCCCAAACCATTAGTGTCAAGCGACTAACTATTTGAGGTGTCACATGCGATTACCATCAAACACCATTGGTGTCATGTGACCAATTGTTTTAAGTATCACATGCGATTACCACCAAACACCATTGATGTTTAATGACTAGCATTTGTATCGTCACTGTGCTTTAGTGTAAGCCTATGATCATTCACGACGGATTATAGAAGTAACGCAAAAATTTCCTTTAGACAAAATATGAGTGAGCCAACAAAAGAGTACTGTTGTACTAAGGCCCATTATAATCACCATTATTATTATCATCATCATCATTCATGTGGACCGCTTGTAGAGCACAGGAAGGTAACCACACCTCTCCGTCATACTCAGTTCTCGGCGATTCCTTCAAGTTTGGCCCACGACATTCCGGCTCCCCCTGCTTCATTTACAACTGATCTTTTTCACGTTTGGTTTTGTATACTTACTTTCCTCTTGCTTTGATGATTCCAATCTAGTGCCTGTCTGGTGATGTTGCTAGTTGGTTCACACAAGGTGTGTACAATCCATCCCCATTTGCGCGTTTGTTTAATGACTATACCAGGGGTCGGCAACCTGCGGCTCGCGAGCCGCATGCGGCTCTTTTGATATCAAGATGCGGCTCTCCAGCTCCTTGAACAAATACTAATAATCTTAATAAAAAAATAAAATATTTGAAATTAAAAAAATGTTAGTGGCTCTTTAAAACCAGGGAAATTTTGAAAATTGTAACTTTTGGCTCTTCCGCTTCAAAAGGTTGCCGACCCATGGCCTATACCATTAGGAATTATATTTGTGATGTCGCCTATAAATGAACGGGGATCAAATTGCTCGGGATCTGTAAACTTTTATATCTACACTGTCAGCAGGGCGTTGTTTCCATAGTGCAGAAGTAGGTAGGTCTGTTATCTTTACTGGAGAATAATAGCACGGCGTATATTTTTATACATACACGGTTTTATTTACACCGGATGTGTGACAGTAAGATGCACCGCCCACGTTGAATGTAAGTCATTGTGAGGGCGTCACTCTTATAGTTGAGAAGAGTGGCTGAGAACAAGGCTATGGGTGGAGTCTTTTTTTTACTCCGGAAGTGTTCCTTTCAGGCATCTATTGTTGTTGGGGGGGGGGGGGGGGGTAATAGAATAAAAACTAAAATAAATTATACTTTCACCAGTGTCTGCCACCCTCGGAAAATTTAGTCCGCCCCCACCCCTTTAGTTCCAAGTACCCCCCCCCCCCCCCCCCCCCCCAGAGGCGTATCCAGGTTTTCGTTGTAGGGGGAGTGAAAAGAGCAAAAAAAGGCGCCGAATTTATTTTCTATATACGTGTATTTTATATATATATATATATATATATATATATATATATATATATATATATATATATATATATATATATATATATATATACTAGCTGCATCACGTGCTCCGCCACGGTAAATCTTTTTTAAATGTACCAACTTGGGAACAGAACAAAACTAAACACAACACAAACGAACGCAAAAAAAAAAAAAAACACAAACGAAAAAACAAACACTACACTCATAACATAAACACAATTTAAATGCAATCATAAAGGCATATTGCTCACAGTCTAACCCGTAGCGCCAAATCGCGCCCTTTCCGGTGATTTGCACCCCCCTCAAAC